GTACCTCCACGGTAACTGCGAGGTCTGTTTCGGTGGTGCCATTCACCATTTCATTTCCCTGTAGATTTACATGGTGTCTACCCTGCCATTACTTGTGGGCGGAGTGTACACGGCGTCCGTCAGCCTTTCGCGACCTCTCCCCCGTCACTTGTCGACGACACGAGTTGCTACCTGTCTTCCCCGGCGCAGAGTGTCTATACAATGCTGGAGGGGGAATTGAGAAATTCGATCCCGTCGAATTGGTACTTATGGACTGAACTCGTAGCTTTGTCAAACGCGTGTGCCCTTGAGGACTCGAAAGGGAAATCTCCAGAGGATACTGTCAGGCACCGACTTAATTCGAACACATTACAGTTTATTAGTGACAAACGTCACGGAACTGACAGTGCTGTTTACAAATGTAACGTAGCCATCCGCGGAAGGAAATCGAACATCGGCGATTCGTAGGGAATCAGGTTTTTCTCTAGGCATAACCATAACCTCTGACATGAAATTCTACTAATGGGTGGTGAATTTAATATCTATTGGGTTATGATGTAAGTCGTAGCAATCTAAATGAACAATTTATGTGCACCGCTCCAAACTGGTGCTTGTGTTGAACGTCCTGCCACCTGAGTACAAAATTTGGAGGTCGGGTCTTCGGGTAGTCTGCTGATTACAGTCGAAGTACTTGTTCCAATGAAAAATGATCTAGTTACGTTCACGCGGAGTGTTTTATACATGTCGTAGCTAGACACAGTATACTAGCGACATATGTCGTCGGACGAAACTACAATGTAGGTACCAATTTGACATGTGGGGGTCGTGCACGTGACGTGCAGGGCGAGACGTAGCGGTTGTGTCAGGCGACGTGGGCGTGACGCTCCCCCTGGTGTCAAGGGTAGTCGTTTTTCTGCACCCACAACGAATAGGGACCGAGGTTTTACCACCTTACTCGGACGGGCGTAACTTTAGTCCTGTTCGTCTATCACAACGTCTTTTTTTTTTTTTTTTTCGTCGTAGAAGGGCCGCGTCTGGACTTTGGAGTGAGAAAGCAGACGGGTGAATTCGAGCTCGCTAATCTGTACATGATTCGTTGTCGTGAATATATAGGATTAATTTCCCGCCGCCGGAATAGATTTCTTGCGTCAACTCATCGTGAACTTACAAACCCGAGATACTTTGGACACATCAAAAAAAAAAATATACGGAATAGATGGTTCGGTCAACTCATCGTGAACTGAAAAACCGACGATACTTGGGACTACATGAATATACATAAGACAAAAGAAGTTCCAACATAGAAGCGACCAGCTTACATGAATAACATGTTCAGCGAAACCTATTTTCGCAGTCGATTTTACGGTACATTAACCATTACCATTATATTTACTTACCTGAAGAATAGCTTGTCTGGGCGACTTACCGTGGTGGCTTCGACTATTATATAAAAGGGGTAATACTTTATCTCAGGCGTTTGGCCTCACGCAGACCTCGTAGGTTGTCCCGGGTGTTTCTTCTTATTGGACTATCTTATGTCTGTCGCTTTAATCTCTTGTAATATTCAGTCCGAAATTTCCGGTACTTTTATCTAATATGAGTTTATTGCTTAGTAAAGGAGTTTAACATTTAATAAATCCTCCGACAGGGAAAATGGAACTGCGAGAAGTTAGGTCGAAGTACTAGAAAAAATAGGCCGCGTCAACCGTTGAGGACCGTGTGGCCTTTAAAGACCTTTTTTTAATTAGCCACCAGTCAACTTCTGTGTCTATCGTCGTCGGTTCCCACAAACACGAACATCAGGAGTGTGAAGCTAAGTAATTTGCCACTAGAGAGAGGCCTGCAGACGTTTACAAATGTTGTGGACAAACAAAGGGTTAAAGGAATAGAAATGTGATGTTTGTGTGAATCATGATGAAGTTATGTGGAAGTAGTTGTGTAGTCGAGTTGACACCTATCAATTTGATATGGTAATTGTATACGAATCAATGTTTTGCAGCACCTGTGAATGTGATGCAGCTATTTGGCACTCAGGTCCTGAGTGATTCATAGCTGATATGTGTTTGATGAGAAATACTCTGTGGGTGTATTAAAGCAGTTGTAACTCCACCTCCTCTGTACAGATGATCAGTGCAGAGGCTCCGGTCCTGTTTGCCAAGGCAGCACAGATCTTCATCACAGAGCTCACCCTCAGAGCATGGATCCACACCGAGGACAACAAGAGACGCACGTTACAGGTCAGACACGCTAATGGAGATGAATTAACTACTTATCCTTTATGTTCTCCCTTTATGACACACGGGTTACCTCCATCAGGTCAGGCTTCAGTTAAGGAAACCAACTCATCTGGCAAATTCCTCCTCTTTATCTTCCTACTCTCTTTTTATTGGGATTGTTAAAACCATCTATTGTGATTTTATTATCTCTTGTACATTTCTTCCACCTTTTTCTATTCAACTCGTTAAACACCTTTACATCATTTGGTTGTCTTGCTTTCTATTCACTGAATGTCTGGGTGCGTATAAAAGCAGAGGCCCCATACCAGCGCCTCCTTGAGCACCTCTGTCTCCCTCCATTGGCTTTGAAAGCATACCCAGGCGTGTGCCGGTGACCCACTTTCCCTCTGGTGCCATTTTGCCTGCTCTGCTGTCCCAAAGTGAAATAAGATGGTGGGGGGGGGGACGTTAAGAGAGGGAAACCATGAGAGCGTTTCTGGGAACAGTTTGGGAAAATCAGACAAGAGTCTCACCTGGATGTCAAGGGGGGGGGGAAACTGTGAAGCAGAACATGAAAGCCCTTAAGTCCACTTTATCCATTCACATACCTCTGAGAGATTAGCAGCCCATGGATATGTGTGTGTGTGTCTGCCAGAGCAGGTAGGAAAAAAAAAGACAGTGTATCCTAGATGGAGAAGTCTTAAATTGAAGACCTACTTTGGACATGTGTTCACTTTGCTGTTTTCTGTGCTTATCCAAAAGCCTTGTTAGCAATACACTCAGGATTAAGAACTCTACACTGCATGCATTAAATAGAAACTGAATATACTGTGCTGTTAAATGTTCTCTACGTCTAACAGCACAGATGTAGCATTAAGTACGTGTGAAGGTTGAACGTCATAGATGTGATATTTCCGTGTGTCGAAGTGAGAAAAACGCCATCCTTTTCCCCCCACATGTTCACACACACATACACTCACACACACAGAGCACGGGTCCTATTGTGAAGAGGGCACGCCAATTAAGGTCACCATAGCAACACTCATCAATAGAACAAGTGTAGATGTGACCTGGTGTTACGAGATATTAATCAAGCTACTATAAATAGCCTCTTGTGCAGGGAGGGCCACAATGGGGGGTCCTGACAGCCAATATCCTGTGGAAAATTCCACAGAGACAGCACACTGCTGTGGATATAGGAAGGGGAGTAGAAACAGAGTGTGTGCTCATGAAAGCAGGAAAGTGTCAATCCTGTTGGTCATACATACGCAGGATGTGATTTCTTTTTTGTTTTACTGGTCCCCTTTTCTATAATGGCAAATGGTTAAAAGCAAAGTTGTTGAACAAGTTTAAGAAGAAAGGTCAAAGGCCTTCCAAAATGTTAAAAATACTTTAATCAGATTTTATTTCATGGTAAAATTCTTAAATCCTAGACAATGCTGGTGATACAGTTAAGGAAAAGCTTGGTTACACCCAAACATAGCCTCACAATCTGTTTGTTTGAGGTTATTGTTAGTAGAGAGCCTTGGACTTGTTTATTTTATTTTAAGGCGCACCCTATTGACCCTTCTGAGCTGCCTTTTCTTTTTTGAACACATTTTGTCTTGAAAAGCTGTAACAAGCAAATGTTGTATATTGTTTATTGAAATACTTACTAGTCGACTTGGTTCTGAATGAATCCTTTTGATCTCAGTTGTCAACGCTAACACTGCTAGGAACTTTATTTCCATTCCCCAGCAGCCCCTTGTGAGGCTATTTTGGGGAAGTTGACCTCAGACCCTGAGGCATGTTTAAATATAGGCTGGCAAGTGGCAAAGTCTGACCTCATCACTTGACCCTCTCTGTCTGTTATGTTCACAGAGGAATGACATTGCTATGGCGATAACAAAGTTTGACCAGTTCGACTTCTTGATTGACATTGTGCCCCGGGACGACCTGAAGCCACCTAAAAGACAGGTAGGTAATCACACGCTCAGCAGTTATAGGGCAAACAGCAGATCTCTCCAAAGGTTCTGGATTATAATGTTCTTCCACATCAAAGAGGGTCTCGGGTGCTTTCCCATTGTTGGCAACTTGGAGGTGCTGTAAACATCCTTGACTGGAAGCTGGGGTTAGACAGCGTGGGCTTTCAGTCGGATGTTTGCAGCATCTTATTGCCTGTGACAGCCAACACAAACTCCAGTGATGACGCTAATTTCTACAATTAGTAAGAGGGAAGCACATCTTCATCGAGCATGGAAATACGTCCTCATCAGGGAACAATACAGTTTAGTGCCTCCTTACAGAAAAACAAGATACCGATTTAAGTTTTGCTCAAGCAAGAGATTGGTGGAATGGATCCAAATGTATGCTAACAGATGGAGGAGTGAGATATGTAAATCCATTGTCAAATATACTGTCTCCAGGCATGTAAACATCCTACACTCTCAGCTGTGTTATCATGGAGCTGGGAGAAGGGTGTTTACCCTCCTGGTGATGGAGAAACCTCAACTATGACGCAGAAGGACACAGTCGGTTTTACTGATCATTTAATTATTGATTGGCCTCGGGTTGAAGCCCTTATGCCAGCAAGCAAATAACATGCAGAGTAAACTGAATACCAACAAGCTCTGGCGTAGAATTTAAGGGCTGACCCAGAAAGAGGATGGGCAGAGTATACCTATCTTACAGTAAAGTCACAAATGTTTGATACTGCTTTCCCTAAAAATGCTGAAGCCACAAGGCCCTTCTGTATGGTATGGACCAGTATGGTGTTAGTAATATATCCTATATCCAGTTTACATTACCCATCCCCAGCCACATCCCATCAGTTATTTATCAGACCTACCCTCCTCTTCCGTTACACCTGCAAAAATAATGAATGTAGATGTAATGGACTGATAGGCCTTCGGTGTGCGTGTGTGCTCTACAGGAGGAGATGCGTCAGTCTGTAGCTCCTGCAGAGCCGGTGCAGTACTACTTCACTCTGGCGCAGCAGCCTGGAGCCGTGCAGGTTCAGGGAGCTCAGCAGGGCCAGCAGCCCGGGGGACAAACCACCATCCAGCCCGGACAGATCATCATCGCTCAGCCACAGCAAGGACAGGTACTACTGACACCTTGTTAGAAGAGCTTCCAACAGGGTTTACAACAAAGGACACGCATCACATTTTTTAAAGAAGCAACAACGAAATAAAACTACAACTGGATATGAGAATTAAAGCCAATATCACCTTATGCCACTTCAGCTTAGGAACTTAACTGCTCCCACAGTCACATACATTACTAGCTACTGAAGCCTGCACTGAACACAACACACATATTCTATTATTTGAACACTTCAATTATTACCTCTCACACGTAGTTTATTTATCACACTCTACAATCAACCCTGTCATGGAAATCAAGCTGCTGTTCCTCGAGTCAGCACACTTTATTGGTATTAGTCTTAGCTCACATCCAGCGGCTGACCACTCTCCCACCAGCAGGAATAACTAAATGAAAGTGAAATTAAATGTCTATAAACACACACATGTATTATTCATTATTCATTTAATAGTTGATAACCAATCCATTAACCCATGAATCTTTGCAGCTCCAATGGACTCACACAAAAATGTGTATATGTAAATGTATTTCATCCTTTCTTCCAAGAAATGAGCTGAAAGAAACAAAAACAATCAACTGCTGTTTCTTAATGGTCCCTATCGCTATTGGCCAGACTGCATTTCTTCCACATCTGGATCACATTTTCTTATTGTATTTTGTCGGGACTAGATGCTGCAGGGTGCCACCATGCAGCAGTTGCAGCAAGTGCAGGTGCAGATACACCCAGGGACACTTTTCAAATGACACTCTCTCTCATTTTCTCACTGTTACTTCTTCTGCCTCTGCGCACTCTCTCTTTCCAGCTTGGTCTTTGCATGTCACTCAGCCATGGTCCTGGGCTGCTGTGCTGCTTCATGCTGCTTCAGCAGGCTGCCTTTAGCTGAGCTGTCAGACCCGTTTAGACCTGGCCGGATGCACTTGCACTGTCACTGCTGCAGTTTAGAGCAGGAAGGTCACAGTTTGACACTCATCTTACATAGACTCCTTAGTGGGCAAATTACAAGGGATTACTTTTAAAAGCAAGGCCTTGAGAGATTATGTGAAAGTAAAACATTTGACTCCCTTAAAAGATGGTTTGTTGAAGCGCTTTTGAGATGAACCCTATGAAGCTTCTTCTTAACTGTCATTGCTTATTTAAATGTATTTCCCCCAGTTTTATGTTCATCCTACAGGATATCTGTTTAAGTGTCTACTAGCTCATGCCATGTTTGGTACAATTATAGAGTAAAGTATAAGCAGGACACATTTTAGAATGAAGAGAGTGGATAGGAAAGGATGATGGGCAGAGATCACAATTTATACTGTTCATTTATTAATCTGGGTGCAGAGTTTTAGTGTCGCAAGTTGTCACTGTCTCTCTCCTCTCAAGTGCTTATGAAACCCCAGTTGACATTACTTAAGCATCTTAAATGTCACTATGATGTACCTGCTTTTTAAAATCCCGTCAAAACTCCAACAAAATGTCTTCTTTTACCCGTTATTGACATTTCACCTCTGCCTATTTAACTTTCATAAACGCATCATTAAATGTCATTTTACCTTCCACTGTTTGCTGCCCTAACCTTTTTTGCTTTCTACGCACACACTCCACACCTGCTTACATTCACGTGTTCAGTTGTTGCAATCGCTGCTTTCTCACTTGTGTGTCTTTCTCTCATTTTCTCATTCAATTCTGTCGGGCCGTCAGATGCTGCAAGGTGCCACCATGCAACAGTTACAGCAAGTGCAGGTGCAGTCACAAGGCACACCCATCACGGTAAACACACATGCACATGTAAATGTATGTGTACAACACACACACACAGAGGCCTCAGCCCTGGATTTGATTGCTGCCTACACACAGGGTGCTGCCTACACACAGGGTGTTTCTCAATGTCGAGGACGCTTGCTTGGTAGCACATGTCTTCCGAGTCATTTCCTTCAGAAGCTAGGCAAGAATCCTTCCTGGCATTCGGAAAACGAAGTGGAACAGGCGAGCAATTGTGCAGGTGTGCGTCATATGCGAGTCCCCGCTCTACATTTTCCGCCACAGATTTTGTGAAATTGGTCTGTGCGCAAAGCATTGTGGGGATTTTAAGACCGTGGAGTCTACACATGTGCAGCCTCGAAATTTCTCGCTAAGAAGTACGCCGGCCTCGGTAGAATTCCAAGTATGCTGGACATTGGAACAGTCCTTCGGCGGATTCGATGACGTAGTATGCTTGAAAGAGTGGCTCTGGAGCAGCCTTCCTCGACATTGAGAAACACCCACACTGTCCTGCTCAGGTGACGGAGGCCCGCAGGGGTGACCGCAGAGATCAGGTGGCCTCTGCTAGATAGTGTGACCGCAGAAAACAAAGGGCGGTCTGGAAACCTGCCTCATCTTCTGTGCCTTTCTGCTGATCTTTAACAGACATTTACAATCTAAGAACACATTGGTTTACATTTTTATTCCAGGGAAGTTAGCGATTTCCTGGTTCTTTGCTTTGTGTCAGTCATAAGCTACATCCTGGTAAAAGTAGTTCAACGACTAATACTGTATTGCTTCTCTCTTCTTTTCTGTTTCTGTCTCTCTTTCCTTTTACTATATAAGAGTGCACCTGTAGCCATGCAGGTGGGTGAGGGCCAACAGCTACAGATTGTCCAAGCCCAGGGTCAAGCTCAGCAAGGCCAAGGCCAGGGCCAAACCATGCAGGTCATGCAGCAGATCATCACCAACACAGGAGAGATCCAGCAAATTCCGGTAAGAATTAACGTCAACATGAGAACAGGAAATAAATGAGTAGTGAGAAAATGAGTAAAGAAGTCAGTTTGCTGCATATTTGACATGGCTTTTAGACATGAAAAAACATGGTGTCCTAGTGAATTATCCATCATTCACTTCTTGATGGGAGTTAACAAATCACCAGAGGAAAGTGAATGATTCTCATTGCTGTTGTCCAGAGCAGGAAAATGGCTGTGACCTCTGGGTTTCAATAACCTCTGCTCACAACCTAAATCTGTCTCCCCCTTGTGTTGACTGAGTGTAGGTGCAACTAAACACAGGCCAGCTGCAATACATCCGTCTAGCCCAGCCTGTGTCCGGAGCGCAAGTGGTTCAAGGACAGATTCAGACTCTCGCCAATGCCCAGCAGGTAAGCACTGAAGCAACAAAAAATAGCATTCATAAAACAAATTATATTGTAGCCTGTTTTTTTTTATCTTATGTTTGTTTCTTTAATTCAACATTTATTTTCTTTGCAGCTCACACAGGCAGATGTACAAGGACAGCAGCAATTCAATCAGTTCACTGATGGACAGGTAACGAAGGCAAAACATTTAATGAGTTACAGCTGTAACAATGACAGGGGCATTTTCAGCTTAATGTTGAATTTAGCATCTTTTAATTTGAGTCGGTGTTCTTATTTCTGGCTTGTTAGCATTGTTTTCTCATATATTTGAGAAATATATAATATATTATAAATATTTATTTTGTATGAGAAACATTTTTCTCATACTTTTATTATCATTCAAAATCTAAGGATGATTACGTGTAACTTAGAAATTGAGAAAATGGACACCACTTCGCCAGATCACATTTAACTAGTGCAGAAAATGCTGTTAATTTAACCTCCAGTTAACCAGGCAAGCCTTATTGAGATTACAAATGCAATCTTTAAGACTGCACTTGCCAAGAAAACCAGTAATTACGGTATATTACAATTAAATGACATCAGACAGAAAACCCAACTTATCCAAAAAAAATGAATGGAACAGAATACCATTTTGTTTTGTTTTTAAAACAACAAATTCAGCTGAAATATTTATTTGGAGAAAAAAACTACAACGCAACCAGTAACAACTCTGTCCTAAACCATGTAGTCACACAGCCTCTCTCCCTTCTCTCTGTTCTACAGCAGTTGTATCAGATCCAGCAGGTGACGATGCCGGCAGGACAGGAGCTGAGCCAGCCGATGTTCATCCAGTCCACCAACCAGACGGTCGACGCTCAGGTCACACAGGTCAGCACAGACTGAGCCCAACCAGGAACCTTTTCTCCACACACACAACATGCATACCAGACCATGTGATGCCGCCAGATGACACCAACTTGGACAAAGGACACTTTAAAATTTCAAGCACTTCTCTTGCAGAAGAGAGACATGAAACTTTCTTTGCTTTTGTAATACATTTAGGATTAAAACACACAAAAGGGATGGCTAGACACAGGTGTACATTCACCTACATCTGTAGATAAAATAAGCATCCACTGCCACGGAAAAAGTCTACACGGATCTATCACCTATTCTTCCTCTTATCTCATGTCCAAACCTCAAAGACAACCTGCTCCAGGCATCACTGTGGGATTCTTCTTTCCTTCTGGGAAACCACGAGTAATACTTTCTTGTTTTCCATGTAGTTGACGGATACATTGATGCCATTTACCTCAGATATCACTTTCTACAACAGTCAATCCAAGAGATCTTGAGAAGAGGTTATAGGGTTCAATGATACATTTAGTTTCTCTTTTGTGTTGTACTCCTCATTGACGATGAAGCAAGACTTTATGTTTTAAGGGCTTCAATCCGTAGGTTAATTTAGTATTTGTGCTTTTATTTCAAGAAGCCAAACAACAGTCATCATTACTCCTCTGTGTTTCTCCTTACTTCCCCCTGTTGACTTTAGAGCGGGGAATCTCTTCTCTGCCTCTACGCAGTTTCACACAACTTTCTCTGCCCGGCTGGTTGTAAAGTCTTTTGCCCTCGTTTAAGTCTCATGTACAAACACATGACTCCGTCTGGAGCCAAAAACCTTTTTATAAAACCTTTTTTTCTTTACAATTAATTTTCTTTTGGTTTTGAGATGATGTTTTGTCGCATATCTTCCCCCTATTATTTTTTGTACAGTAATGATTATTATGAGTGTTCTTATAATTGTTGTTTTCGCATGTAGTTCAAACTGCCAGCATGACATGCAATAGATGGGTACAATATTTTTTTTTGATGTTCCTTTTTGTAAGCAAAATGTGTTTGTGAGAAAAAAAATAAAAAACATAACTTGTCTAAGAGTAATGAGTTGGTGTCATCGTATACTAACCCATGTTTTCATTGTTTTATTTTAAGCGCCTTGCTAGTGAGTGGACTGTAGGCAGGGAGACAGGAGAGAAATGCAACAGCACAGCAAGAGATAAACTGGAACCAATCCAGTCAGCATCCTACTGTATGTTCAGGTAGACGCAACCCACCACCAGAACAAGAAATATCATTGAATTACTGCTTTTATAGTTGCATTTATCTTATGGGCGACAAAATAGTATTAAATGATCAACACTCATAGTTATCGGCACAATATTGGTGGTTTAAAACATGTTGGTTTGAGGCGTGTGTAGTTTTCACAAATGGCCATAGGAGGGCAGCACTGATTTAACAACTGTAAATGCCACTGAAATCCTGTATCGGGGGCACCTGATATATTGCTGAACTCAAGGTTAATATTTTTCACCAGGAGCATTGCTTAACAAGCATAGACACTGGCAAAAATGTGCAATCAATAAGTGCCCACGTTGCACCCAAACAGACTAAATAAACGCAACTAATCGTGTTTCTGCTGCCCTCCTCGAGCACAAAGGACAAGCGGTTAACAATAGAGTCACGAGTTATTGTGCTGGAGACTGCTCAGCTCCTGTGAGATCAGACTGCATTCCTTATCTGACCTAAATCTTAAGAGGTACTTATGGTGGAACAGAAAGTTAGGTAGGCAGACAGATGCAGGGGTCTCATATTGTCACACTTACACCAAGTAAAAGGTCTCGAAAAGTTGCACTTATCACTTAGCGGTGTTTTTTCCAGCTCACATTGACCGCTAACTACACAACTGTCTGGTTAAGCCCACGGTGGTCAGAGCCACAAGTTGACATTACACAATCTGGAGGTACCTTTCCTAATCGACTTAATCACTGTACAATAACAGAATTAATGAGTGCAGACTCATGCTCGGCTCTTTCTAATAAGTGAAGCAGCGGATTGTGAGAATGTCTGAGCCTAAGTCAAGCATGAAAAGGATTGTCTGCTGGTATTTTTCTTGGCCGGCTCATCTGGTCGGATCAAGGCAACCTCGGCCAGATGAGTTTGGTCTCACCAAGTTAGAGACTAACCCTTAATAAGAGTGGACGTCCACTCTGTGTTTGATCCTCTCTTCTCTCTCGCTGAGGTGTCTGCAGAGTTTCTTTCAATCACCATCAAAGTAAAACGTAAGCTTTTCCCAGGTCCTGGCATTTCAGGGTTGTGTAAGCATAAGGTGTTGATTCAATAATCTACAAAGTGAAATTCTATCATCGCTTATCTCTCTTAACAAGGGATGGCAACAGAGCTGTGAAATAGTTTCACAACAAGTGTATCCATGGTACAGTGCCAACAATTATGGGGAAATAATCATGGCCTTATATCACATGTATAGGGTATTAAAGAGTTTGATTCAACAACAAAAAATATGTATGTCTGTGTATCTACTCAGTCAGTTTCGTGATAACAGGCTCAAAATGAAACAAAACAAACTATATTCTTTGCACGATTATTAACACAACAGCTGCTGACATGGAGCCTTTAATGTGAGTCCAACTTTTCAATGATGGCAAAAGAGAACAATACTGTCGTGTGTATACAAATGTGGTGGGTATTCTCAGAAAACAGGGGAACAACTGGATAAACAGGATGGCAATCAAGGCACTTCAATATATAAAAGAACCAAGAGGAAGGAAATACCCTTAAAAAACACTTTCTAGCACTATAGGTCTTTGTCATTGCCCACTTAATACACATGAATGGCGTGACAACAACAATACCCAAATTATTTCCCGGTTAATTCAGGACGAAATAGAAGCATTGTGTTTATAAGGTGACCCAAAATGAATCCTTCAGGGAGACTTCGACTGCACTCTTTTATAATCTCTCTTCTTCAGATTCATATCAGGTACTTTTAGTAAACAAATAAAGCTGAACTTAATAAACGATTCACATCAGTAACCTCAAGAATACTGAATCATGTCAAAAAGACTGAATACTTATGTGGACCAGGGAAGAAAAGAAGAAGAGAAGAGGTGAAAGAACTTGAAAAACACAAAAGGTAATGTGAGGAAGAAATCTTTTATCTTTTGTTTAGTTCTTACTGTTTAAGCAGAGTGCTACTTGGTTACTTTGGCCAATAGTTAGTCGCTTTTTAAATACATTGAGTCAATGACAATTATTCCCATTATGGACGTTTAGAAAGACTATTCAGGTGTTAGAAAAGAACCAACAATATCATTTGGACAAATACTGTTTTTTCTAAGTGCTTTGTCGGCATCAAGACAAATGGCATACATTCATATTAAATCTTAATCTAGTTGGCCCTTTTTGTGAGCCTTTGAATTGTAAGTATTGGTTAGTGTTATATATATGTATCTGACAGAAGTGCTCAGTGAATAAAGGTTTTGTGGATAAATGCTAATCACTCTTGCTGTTTGTGTTAGAATGTTAGACGTTATAATTAAGCAATAGCTCACGACAGGCCGTGGTATATGCTCAGTATATCACGGCTAAGAACCAATCAGATTGCTTGATTTGACTTGTCCGTTTTATAATGTGGCTTAGATGCTACACTATGTTTTTGGTTGGGGCTACAGCTGCCTATGACACAGTCAACCACAGACGTCTCCTCAGTAAGATCCTGGAGACCACAAGAGACACCCGCCTGACAGAGCTGATTGAAAGCATGCTTGAAAATAGGCACTTCTTCGTTGAGCTAGGAGGAAAGAAAAGCAGGTGGCGAAGACTCAGGAATGGCCTCCCACAGGGAAGTGTGCTTGCACCGCTTCTCTTTAACATCTACACCAACGACCAAACAAAAAGTGTAGACACCCGCCACTTCATCTATGCAGACGATCTTGGCATAGGTGCAGAAGCCACTGATTTCAAAACTGTGGAAGACAGACTCTCTAACGCTCTGGCAGAGCTAACACCTTACTATGAAGAGAACCACCTACGTGCAAACCCATCTAAGACACAGGTGTGTGCCTTCCACCTGAGAAACCGTGAAGCCAAGCGCCAACTGAAGGTCAGCTGGTCAGGAACCTCCCTTGAACACTGTGAGCACCCAGTCTACCTAGGGGTAACCCTGGACAGATGCCTCTCTTTTAAGACCCACACTGAAAAGACCAAGTGCAAAGTGAGTGCGAGGAATAACATCATCCGCAAGCTCACCGGCACGACCTGGGGTGCAAACCCACAGACTCTGAAGTCAACCGCACTAGCCCTCTGCTACTCAGCTGCCGAGTATGCCTGCCCAGTATGGGAACGAGCTGCCCATGCCAAGAAGCTGGATCCCGCCCTCAATGCTAGCTGCCGCATTATCACAGGCTGCCTGAAATCAACACCTACAGACCGTCTGTACATCCTGGCAGGCATAGCCCCACCAGAGATACGACGAAATGCAGCAAGCAAGAAAGAGCGCCAACAAGTCTACTGACCAAAGACATCCTCTCTTTGGCCATGTGCCAGCCAAAAGCCGCCTTAAATCCAGGAAAAGTTTCCTGAAGAGCGTCCCACCCCTCGGAACACCGAGCACAAGCAGTGAAAGAGTCACTCGGTGGGAAGAAACACTTGACAACCTCCCATCAGCAACAACAATGGAGCAAAGGCGAGTGAGGCACTGCCCCCTGGAGCAGACACCAACTACGCAGTGTGGAAATGCCTAAACAGAATAAGATCTGGTGTTGGACGTGCAAAAGCCACTCTCGCCAAATGGGGATACCTAAATGACGGAGACGTTTTGTGTGACTGCGGCATTGAACCACAAACCATGCAACACCTCCTGATATGCCCCCTGCTGGAGCAACCCTGTACAACATCGGACTTGGCAGAGTTTAATGAGAAGGGACAGCAATGTGTTCAGCTGTGGCTGAACCACATCTAACCAAGCTCTGTAACTGACTGCCTTGTGGACACGATAAGAAAGGTTGGGGCTCACCAGCAGCAACTTTATTATAAATATTATTTAACAGAAAATGGTCACATGTAATCGTCTTGTCTCCTCAGATACACTTTTTAAAATTTGAATCCCACCACTGGAAATCCTGGACCACCTGCAGCATCTTCGATGCAGAATCAAGCGCTCCTCCACCCTGCCTCTCTGACAAGAACAGTAACGCAGCATCAGGCTCTCCTGTCTCCTATCATGTCACTTGTTTTGTTAATATTGTTTTTATAATAAAACGATATCAAAGACATAACGGTATGCTGTTTCTGTGTGAGTGTCTTAACACAATGAGGGGTGGGGGAATTGGCTAAAATGCAATAGGTACCAGCTGAACATTTACCGAGGGCACCATGTTTGTCAGGGCCAGCTCTACATGAGAGAATTGTATCGAAGTGGCAATTGCTGATAAAACACAATAAACAGAAACACAGGCAACCAAATAAAAAGCTATTAAATATATAGCAAGCAACAGAACTTCAGGTCAAACATCTAAAAAAAACTACACACTTTAGAGGTTCACAATCAACCACCTGCATACCTTTTTATCTCACCTAACCTCTGTTTAGACATGAGCCTGGATATAGCACCTTTCAATACTGCTACTTGTGTGTGTCTTCACAATCTTTTTATAGCTCTTTTTGTATTGGTGAGAGTTGTTTTTGCCTGAAGGAAATGAGGTAGTGTATTCACTACAGTCTCCGCCACCCCTCTTAATGTTTTTCAGAAGCATGTGCACAGTCTTAGTCACTGCTGTACACGTACTTACAGTGGTTGTCAGATACAAAGGACCTGACTGGTTATGAATGGGCTTCTGAGTGAACTAATTTACTGACCCAGTCGCTAGGTATAGTGGTTCACACTTACATATTCATGCCGCAGTTTGGCAGATTGATGAACGCAGGAAAACTGCTTCACGTCAGTTGACATTTTAACAGCAGCTACATGATGTTTGGAGTGTGTTGTTCAGCGGGGGTTCTTTCTTTAAACACAGCACTGTTTGACACAATGTCACTTCACGTCTCCTGAGACTAAAACCAGACGTATCACAACA